AACTAACGTTACTTATTCAGTGAAAATTATCAACTCGATCTTTATTATCGCTACTCTGTTGCTGGTCCAATACTTTGGAACTCTTTACCCTATAGCACGAGAAGAATTGACTTTTTAGATCTATTAAAGTCATTCCTGAAAACAATTTTGTTTCGTACAGCATATCCATAATATTTCCATAAAAATTTTTCCTTTAACCGAAACGAAGTTGAGGTTATTATTCCCGATATTCACTGAGCCTGAGGCAAATAATTGTTTTAGTATAAATACACAGGTGATTCTTTCCAAAAAAAAAAAGAAGAAGAAAGAATATAAAAGACACATTTTCCCCCGGTAACAGCAACAAAGCGGCTGTCCGCCATTTTGGATTATCGCTCGAGGTGATTATCGTGTGATAATCTGAGTTTCTCGACCAATTAGCGCGCGAGATTTTCAATAATCACCTGTGTATTTATACTAAATATTTATATTTGCATATATTTTATCTCTCTCTGCCAGCAGGGCCGCTGGAGGTTCTGAAGATGGTCCTGAAGGCGGTACGATGAATTTGTCTACCGCAGGACAAAGCCAAGACACCTATGCCAGCAGGGCCGCTGGAGGTCCTGAAGATGGTCCTGAAGGCGGTACGATGAATTTGTCTACCGCAGGACAAAACCAAGACACCTATGCCAGTAGGGCCGCTGGAGGACTTTACCTTGACACCAAAGCATAGGGTGCCAGTTACTCATGTACATGGCCCAGTTACCGATTGTGAATGATCGATGGTTTTGCATAAATACGAACACTTTTAGCTTATAAACAATGCAATTATTTTGGAAAGGATATGTCCTTCCAATTCACATACACACACACCAAAAAACAAAAAAAACAACAACAAAAATTACGTATGATAATTTTACTCAGTAAAAATCCTATAATCTAGTATTTTTCAAATGTTATATTTGTCTTTCAATTCGACAAAAAACAGCATTCTGAAGAATTAAAGCAAGCTTACGAATTTAACACTTATCAATTTCAAGCACTAAAGTAAGACTTTTTCAAAGTTTTAAAAATATATAGATCCCAATAAGCTCAGGCTGACCACAAACGTGCATCAAATATATATGCAAATATATAGATATAGCCATTTAAAACTATCTG